TAGGTCGAAGCTGGCCTATCGTCTGGCTTAGGTGACCTTTGGCGAAGAGTTGGCCGGGCCGCACCCATAGAGTACCAGTTTGAAGGCAACACTTGAGATGGGAGACAGGGGAAGTCGAGTTTCGTGGCTTGGCCTTCGCGAAATTTTCCGACCCGCAGCAACCCAGCCACTAACTGCCACAACAGTTAGTCAGCCTGGACATCTACCACAGGACACGAATCGACGGGGCGGAATTGTCTGCTACTACCGGCGCCAGGTCCTCGTCTTTCTCCGCGGACTCGTGGACTGGGATGACTGGGAGGGCGATCTGAAGCGCGTCTAGGACTTCACCTTCGAGATTCGAAGCATCTTAGGCGGATTCATGTTCGTGGGCGAATATTACACAAACTCCTCAGACGGCAAAAATGAGCAGCATAGATGTTCTTGCGAACGTTGAGAAACATGCTGACGCGATCCTTCGAGTATGTTCGTATCATCGACGAGACTTTGACCTCGTCGTAGTCCGTTCGCACCCACACGATATGCACCTCGTTCAGGGGTCTCTTCAGGCAGCTTTCGAGACGTTGCCGACCGCTGAGCTCGGGATCTTGGGTCGTCTACCCGCAGAACTCATGTCCATGGTCCTCCGCGAGCTCGACATTCGTTCTTTCTTCTACTTCCGTCAAGTCAATCGGCGAGCTCGCGTCCTATCAACCGGGCTCTGGGAATATGAACTGGTCTCCAAGCATGGGTTGGAGGGCCTGCGAGGTCTATTGCGCGCCGAGCTTGCTCACTGCTTCACCATCGACGACCTCTATCGGCCTCTCATAACGGATAAATGCACGACCTGTGGGGCTTTTGGAGGGCTCTTGTTCCTCTTCACCGCGGAGAGATGTTGTTTCGATTGCCTCCAGTCTTCGGCCCACTACCGCGTCCTCCCTCCATCTGCTTTTGCCAAACTCGCAAATATATCTCTAAGTCGACTCAAGCGCCTATCGGGACTAAGTTTGCGGACCGTGCCTGGCATCTATAACATGATGGAAAGGCCAGCGAGACGACCAAAGTATCTGATATTTGAAGAGAAGGCCACACAAACGCTGCTTGCCATCAGGGCCATTAGAGAAGACTCGATTCGAAATTTGAGAAGCCGGAGAGAGCAATCAGACCAACGCTTTATGACAGCTACGGCATATCCGTACTACAGCTTGGAGAATGCCAAACTCGAGCGTGGTGTCAGCTGCAAAGGCTGCCAAGTTCGTCTGGAACTTCTCCGCAATGATTCGGACGATCGAGATCAGGTTTTTTCGACACGGGGCTTCTTGTTTCATTTCTCACGATGTGTGGAAACACAGCATCTCTGGGCTGAGAGCAAAGGGGGAACGCGAACTGTCAATGAGCCAGAGCTCACTCGCCGCTGTGGCTATTTCAACCAGCTAGGTTCTGACGGGCGCCCTGCATAACACTTTAGAACGTGTTCTATCCAGGTTGCCCTCATGACGCACAGAATGTATGCTATACTCTAACCGTACCCACTCGTCCAGATTGTCCACTGGTACAAAGGCACCCTTGGGCTGTTGTTAGCCCGCAATGGACGGCCGCTCCGTCGCCGCAAGCGGGCCGGCGACGCAATCTTATAACATATGCTTCGCTTTGTACAGTATTGTACAACTTATCTTGTAATGAGCTGCCGAATGTTCTCTCTAGGTGTTTTGCGCTACAATTATGGAGCAGGAGCAGCCGAGGATACACACCTATTCCTTTAGTGGTCCGGTGGGCACGCCATGCGCCGCCTTTAGGATGCGGAGACTGCAAACCGCCAGTGCCGTGCTGTCGGGAGCGATCTTCCATGGATAGGCCCCTTTAGTTGGCAGACAGTTGATGAAATTAGCGGCGACGTTAGATTGCCGCAGGAAGAACCAAGGCGAGGCGGACTCTTTGAGGCGCAGCGGTTCCTACACCAACCACGCCAGGCCGTGGCCCCCATACGCGGCTCCGTTGAAGCGATCCCGGCTCCCCGGAGGGCAGTCCAGGACCCCGGTTCCCCGTATGCCATGATGCCCGGATCCGCGGGGCGCAGTCCAAGTGGAGCATTAATGCCAAGAACAAAATCCTCTGGCGGCAGACGGCGCTTCTTGGATGACGGACGGGAATCAGGCATTCGGCAAGGCATTCATCCAACAACAATCTTGCCACTAACAACTTAAGTCTATGTGAAAGGGCTGGAAAGAAGAAGTAGTGCTTCCGCGAGGGGGGGGCGGGGCGGTAGAAGTACAGCTACCCGTGGCTGCAGAGCTCACCCTACAACCTAACCGCTAATCGCTGAGAGTTGCTTCCCTTGCATGGTGGTTGTCCTGCTGGTGGCTGCCCTGTAACTCTGCGTGCTTTGCCCGCTTAGCGTGGGTCTCATGGAGAGAGGCACTGCGATGTGCAACACATAGCACAGCTGTCCCACGGGGGAGGGCGTAAGCGGGCCATCAGAGAGATGAACCAGTGGGCTCTCGCCCCTTGGATACTGCGGTGATCCGCAGTATCGGGGTGCGGGTGTCAACTGGATGTTCTCTTGTTCGAACCATAGAGCACCAAAGCTACATCTGCTCACAACACCAAGCCGCACAGAGACTGGATGACTTCGAGGGTGGTTTCCATTCTCCGAATGACCTACGCGCTTCTAGTGGCTTCATGTTAAGACTAACCTAGCAACCGAATACGATATCCTACGGCCAACCAAGTCGATTCGTCATCTGGTCAACCAAATCTGCCGCAAAGTCGGGCACCTCCTTCAACAGCGTCGACCACCCTTCCAGACCAGACACATCCTCCACCACACAAGCCGTGAACTGTGCAACGAGTTGCCGCAGCTGACATCCCCCGGCTGTGTGATTGCCGTACACGTAGCGGACGAGCCCTCCGAACCCGGGGACGAAGGCCGATGGCCAGATGGTCCATTGCGTCAACTCGTGAGCCAATTGCGAAAAAGCAAGATCCATGAGCGAGGCGATGGCAAATCTATCGGCGAAGACCCAAATCCTAGCATGGCCGATAAACACGAAGGACATTGTCTCGGGCGTCGGCTTGGTTTGCTATATGATTTGCCCATCATCACCACCATCATACTTCTCCACGAACGCCGAGACGAAATCTCGTTTCTTCTGGTAGGGACCGCAGTCGCACGCCGTAGTGTCGAACTTGCGCTTAGACGAGCGCCGCGAGCCAGGCTGGTGTTGCTTGCACAACACGGAGAAGGCAGGACCGCCAAACAAACCACTGGTCCGCTCCGTCGCGGCCCTTTTGTAGGATGCAAGCGAGTAGGGCAGCTTGAAAAGGCCATTCTTGTCGTTCCTCTGAAGAGCCCCGAATAAGGCAGTGCTGTCAGAGCTGTCCTTGACATTGCCCTGTTGTGTGGTCATATTGGTTGACCATGGGCTAAATGGGACGTCCTTGGTGCTTTTGTCCGGCAGCTTCTCATCGACGCTTGCCGTGATTTCAGTGACCTCTTCGAAATGCCTGGCAGGTCCATCTTTCTCGGCGGGCGCGAAGCCCGTGTAAGCACCAGTATACACGAACTAGACGAAACGCGAGAAAACGTCTTTGTCGACATCCTCGCAGGTCACGCAGCGTTCCAAGGATTCCTTCATCTCGCCGTTGACTAGGGCAATGGGCGGGGCCGACAGACGAGACAAGAGGTCGGGGTGAATGGAGAACTCTGCTCTGTCGTGTCCCACAAGAAATTGCACTGACTTCGTCGCCGTGAATCTAGCCGATGCATCAGACATACTGACTCTTCCGATAATCGAAAGCGCTTACCGGTCCAGTTGGGTACTTGAGCAATATGACGCGTAGGGTGATCGTGATCCTAGGGATCTTCTTATAGGTAAGAAAACTATATTGAAAGCTGAAGAGCTACTCTCTTCATTTCTAGGCTCATGGTCATGAGCATGGTCTTATATAGAACTATGGTAGATTGGATCATTGGAATCCTTCATGATCCAAAGGTGGTGGATCACCGTGGCTCACCGTGATCCATGATCCGTGGCTTACTGGTAGTCCTTATCTTATCTCCATGTGACTTAGTTTCCGCATTGTCTGCCTGCCGCGGGGTTCCTGGCGGCGGCCTGTTTTCTGGCCGTAACAATCCCTAGGATTACGATCACCCTATGTGTTATATTGCTTAAGTATCCTTCGACCTATCTTAGGATACAAACCTAAGGACCCTTAGTTACCTATCGACGTACTGATAGGAAGGATCGTTACACTAGGCTCTTCTTTAGGCCATTCTGGATGCCTATGTGGCCCTGAATCGTGGTGCCTTATTTGAAGTTGCTGGGCTGTAGAGTAGACTTTGGCCTGTACCTGTGGCTGGGCTTGGAGGTACTTCTGAAGGGTGGTCGACGGTGCCAAAAACAGCGGGTCGGTGCTAGCTAAAATCGGCACCCAGGACTGCAAAACATGACCTTTAGTTGTAAGTACCTTAGGTAGGTACCTTAGCACCGTGAACTGGTGTACCTAAGCTTACCTTCGCTGGTACCACAGGTAGCTCTGAAAGGTGCGCACATGACCCACATCGCTGCATCGACCTTACCTCGCATTCCACCACCACCACCACCAGCCAACACAGCTGGTACAATCAACGGTCACCAACACCATCATCGACACGCTGAAACTGCATCGACAACAGCAGGGAGCCCTCTACACCGTCCAATATCCAGCATATTCCTGTTAGCGATCAACCGGTCAGAAGTGTCGGCAGCGCCAGCGTTGCTTCGCTGCAACAGCCTCCCGAGTTCCTGCGCAGCTCCCGAAGCTTTTCCTAGCTTCGAGGCTGCGCAATCCCAAACGACCTCGCCTGCACGCCTCTCGAGAATGAGGCAGGACTGCGGAACGGCATAAGAGGAGGAGAAGAGGAGTTCCTTGCGTCGCATTGCACTGCACTGCATTGCATTGCATTGCATTGCAGTGCTCACAACACGCGTTCACATTCACATTAAGCCTGTCCCGGCCCACCGTAGCAACAGCCTCTCATCATGTCTGGGCCGATGGCGAACCCGGTCCAGCAGCGCCAACTGGACATTGCCCAGGAGGCGCTGGAGGGCTTCATCAAGGACATCAAGTCTAGGTTCGTTCTCGTTGAGCCTCCTTCTTTCCTTTGAGTTTCCGAGCCTCTATACTGACATGCTGCGACTTCTAGAACGGTATCTGAAGAGCTCCGTAAGCGATCAGCCCTCCAGCTGCGGGACATGGTAGCTATATTACAAAGAGGTAGGCATGCGGCTTTGAACATCCCCCTTCTTCTCTCTGGATGGCAAGCCATTACCTGGCTTTGAACGGCGAGCTGATGATACCTTTTAACATAGACCTTGCACCGGACTCATTCAACACATTCTTCCTCCAGGTGCAACAACGCATCAGCAACCTCATCATCCATGGCAGCGATACTTTTGAGCGCCTCGGTGCCATCTACATCATCGATGGTCTCGTCGATCTTGACGGGCTGGACACCGGTGTCAAGTACACTCGATTCACTCAGAACTTGCGCACGATACTACGAGGAAAGGACATCAATCCGATGCAAGCCGCGGCTACAGTCCTAGGAAAGCTATGCCGGCCAGGCGGCTCGATCATATCCGAACTGGTTGAAGCCGAGGTCAAGAACGCCCTCGAGTGGCTCCAGTCCGACCGCATCGAAGAGCGACGATATAGTGCTGTCCTCGTTCTGCGCGAGCTGGCCAGGAACGCACCTACCCTAATGTACGCCTATGTCGGCATGATTTTTGACCTCATTTGGGCTGGCCTAAGAGATCAGCGACATCTCATTCGCGCGACTTCCGCCGAGGCCGTCAGTGCGTGCTTCAGGATCATCCGTGAGCGTGACCAGGAACTCAAGCAAGCATGGATGAACAAGATGTACAATGAGGCCATACAGGGACTCAAGGCCAACTCCATTGAGTCAGCTCATGCATCGCTCCTCGTCCTCAAGGAGCTCCTAGAACAGGGTGGCATGTACATGCAGGATCACTACCAGGAGGCTTGCGAGATTGTCTTCCGTTACAAAGACCATCGAGATCCCACGATCCGGAAAACTGTCGTCCTTCTTATTCCTGATCTGGCAAACTATGCCCCCACAGAATTCGCCTCGACGTGGCTCCACAAATTCATGGTCTACCTGTCAAGCATGCTCAAGAAAGAGAAGGAGCGTAACGACGCCTTTCTTGCGATTGGAAACATTGCCAACTCTGTCAAGAGTGCAATCGCTCCATACTTGGATGGCGTGCTGATTTACGTTCGGGAAGGCCTCAGTGTCACGTCACGCAAGCGAGGCTCTGTTGACCCTGTCTTCGACTGTATCAGTCGTTTGGCGGTCGCCGTTGGACAGACCCTGAGCAAATACATGGAGGCTCTCCTCGACCCTATTTTCGCTTGTGAACTCACACCCAAGTTGACACAAGCACTGGTCGATATGGCTTTCTACATTCCGCCCGTCAAGGCTACGATACAGGAAAGACTTCTCGATATGCTGAGCAAAGTTCTTTGCGGTGAGCCGTTTAAGCCACTGGGAGCTCCGCAGCCGAACACCCTCTCTTCAGTGCCCATCATTCCTAAGGACTCGAAGGATCCTTTGGCCTATGAACATCGCAAAGCCGAGATCAAACTGGCCTTGAATACACTGGGCAGCTTTGACTTTTCTGGTAAGAAACTATCCATTTCCTCTTCATCTCCCTTATCTGCCCCGAACTGTCGAATAACAGCGCTAAATCATTACAAAGGTCACGTCCTAAATGAGTTCGTCCGCGATGTCGCCATAAAATACGTTGACGACGATGACGCTGAGATCCGAGAAGCTGCTGCGCTTACATGCTGCCAGCTCTACGTACGAGATCCCATTGTCAACCAGACGAGCTACCATGCTCTTCAGGTCGTCGGAGATGTAATTGAGAAACTGCTCACTGTTGGTGTCTCCGATCCCGACCCGAACATCAGGCGGACTGTTCTTGCTGCCTTAGACGAGCGATTTGATCGTCATCTCTCAAAGGCGGAGAATATTCGCACTTTGTTCTTCGCATTGAATGATGAGCACTTCCCCATTCGTGAGGTTGCGATATCTATTATCGGCCGACTATCCCGCTTTAATCCGGCATATGTCGTACCATCTTTGCGAAAGACCCTTATACAGATGCTAACAGAGCTTGAATTCTCCGACGTTCCTAGGAACAAGGAGGAAAGCGCCAAGCTGCTTTCACTCCTCGTGCAGAATGCACAGGAACTGATCAGACCTTATGTCGACCCGATGATCAAGGTCCTGCTTCCGAAGGCAAATGATCCCACCCCTTCCGTGGCAGCAACGATCCTGAAAGCAATTGGAGAGCTATGTACAGTGGGGGGCGAGGATATGCTTCCTTATAAAGATGCTCTGATGCCCCTGATCATTGATGCATTGCAGGATCAGAGTTCTGCTCGAAAGCGAGAAGCAGCCTTGCATACCCTAGGCCAATTGGCTAGCAATTCCGGCTATGTCATCGATCCCTACCTCGAATACCCACAACTTCTCGAGCTTCTCCAGAACATCATACGAGGCGAGCCACAGCACGGTCCTCTACGTCAGGAGACCATTAAACTGCTTGGGATTCTAGGAGCACTTGACCCTTATAGACATCAGGTACAGATACGCCGATTTTTCTTGAGTCACCACAGAAGATTATTCCCTGAAGAGCTGGATGTCAGCATCGTCCCCGGAGAAGACCCCGATTCGGATGACGATGCTACTGAAGCCCACAGATACATTTCTTGTGTCAATGTTCACATCTGCCCCTTTGCAAGTGCTAACCTGATACAGCAAGTTGAAGAACGAACACCTGAAATCCAGCGCCGCGTGGAGTCCACCCAGATGACCGACATTTCTCTAATGATGACTGGTTTGACTCCGTCCAATAAGGACTACTTCCCTACTGTCGTCATCAACGCTCTACTTCAGATTCTGAACGATCATTCTCTCGTTCAACACCATGCGGCAGTCATCGAGGCTATCATGAACATATTTCGAACTCTTGGGCTTGAATGTGTCCCATTTCTCGATCGCATTATTCCAGCTTTCCTCCTAGTTATCCGTAACTCCTCCGGTAATCGCAGGGAGTCCTACTTCAACCAATTAGCCACACTTGTGGGAATCGTTCGACAGCATATTCGAAACTTTCTGCCTGGGATCGTCGAAGTCCTACAGGTGTATTGGAACGAGACACCGTCGTTGCAATTCACAATCTTGTCTCTCGTCGAGGCTATCTCGCGATCCCTCGAGGGCGAGTTCAAGGTATATTTAGCAGGACTATTGCCACATATGCTAGGGATTTTGGAGAAAGACAGCACGACGAAACGTCTAGCATCGGAGAAAGTATTGCATGCTTTCCTTGTCTTTGGCTCGAGCAGCGAGGAGTATATGCATCTCATCATCCCGGTGATTGTGCGGACTTTTGAGAAAGGAAGCAACCCAGTTTTCCTGCGCAAATCAGCTATAGAAACCATTGGCAAGATCTCACGCCAAGTCAATCTCAATGATTTTGCGGCAAAAGTCATTCACCCCTTGACCAGGGTTCTCTCGAGCGGTGAACCCTCGCTTCGCGTCGCAGCTCTTGATACCCTGTGCGCCTTGATTCAGCAGCTGGGTCGGGATTATATGCACTTTATGGGTACAGTGAACAAGGTTTTGAGAGACAACCAAATCCAGCATCAAAATTACGAGTTGCTCGTCAGCAAATTACAAAAAGGCGAGGTTCTCCCACAGGACCTGAGCTCAGAGTCGCGTTTCGCAGATCAGATTGACGAGCCCGCCTTTGCCGATCTTGGGACGAAGAAATTGGAGATGAACGCGATCCACCTTAAGACGGCATGGGATACACGAGGTAAATCGACGAAGGAGGACTGGCAAGAGTGGCTTCGGCGATTTAGCACGACACTCCTGACCGAATCGCCTAATCATGCACTCAGGGCATGCGCTAGCTTGGCCAGCGTGTATCTGCCCCTCGCCCGTGACCTGTTCAATTCGGCTTTTGTTAGTTGCTGGAGCGAGCTTTACGAACAATTTCAGGAGGAGTTGATTCTCAACATTGAGAATGCCATCAAATCGGAGAACGTCCCGCCTGACCTGTTAGGTCTCCTCCTCAACTTGGCCGAATTCATGGAACATGACGATAAGGCATTGCCGATCGATATCCGTGTACTCGGGCGGGAAGCCGCGCGTTGCCATGCCTATGCCAAAGCCCTCCACTACAAAGAGCTCGAGTTCCTTCAGGACCAGAGCAGTGGTGCTGTTGAGGCCCTCATTGTCATCAACAACCAGCTCCAACAATCCGATGCCGCCATCGGCATTTTACGCAAGGCACAGCTCTACAAAGATGGCATTCAGCTAAGGGAGACCTGGTTCGAGAAGCTTGAGAGGTGGGAGGAAGCGCTGGCATTCTATAATAAGCGCGAAAGCGAGATTCCCGAGGATCAGTCTACACCAGTAGAGATTGTCATGGGGAAGATGCGCTGTCTTCACGCACTAGGTGAATGGGACGCTTTGGGCCATCTGACAAGCCATACCTGGGCGAACTCATCTCCGGAAGTGCAGCGCTTGATCGCCCCGCTCGCCACGACCGCTGCTTGGGGTCTCGGAAAATGGGACTCGATGGACAACTATCTGCAGTCTCTTAAGAGATTCTCGCCAGATCGATCGTTCTTCGGCGCCATTCTGGCATTGCATCGTAACCAATTCCGCGAATCGGCTCAAAACATTGACAACGCCCGAGAGGGCCTCGACACTGAACTTAGCGCACTTGTTAGCGAGTCCTACAACCGCGCGTACCAGGTTATCGTGCGCGTGCAGATGCTGGCAGAATTGGAGGAGCTCATCATCTACAAACAAACAGACGAGAAGAAGCAGGCCAGTCTTCGCCGCACATGGGAGAGGCGCTTGAAGGGCTGCCAGCGCAACTTGGAAGTCTGGCAGAGGATGCTTCGTCTTCGTTCCCTAGTCATCACACCCGGAGAGAATATGCACATGTGGATCAAGTTTGCGAATCTATGTCGCAAGTCAGGACGAATGGGCCTGGCTGAGAAGTCATTGAAGCAGCTTGTTGGCACCGAAGCACCTCTCGATACGATGATTCCGTATTGGCATGAAAGACAACCCGTCAATCGCAACGGCGTTCAGGCCCAGGTCATATATGCCGTGCTCAAATTCCAGTGGGATGTTGGTCAGCAGCCTGGCTCCCGTAATTCCGGTATTGCAGAGAAAGCTCTGTATTGCCTGCGAAAGTTCACTGGCGATACTGTTTTGCGACTTGAGGCTGCTCGCTCACACCTCCACGCCACGCAGCCCAACGGAGACAGCCTTCCATTTGGGTATGGCTTCCCGGAAGGTACGGAGAATATGCTTGCCCCAGGTGCCCAGAAAGTCCTGTTCGATCAGGCGGTGCTTCTCGCCAAATGCTTCCTGCGCCAGGGCGAATGGTTGATCTCGCTGAACAAGGATGATTGGCAATACACACAGGTCAACGACATCCTAGCCTGCTACTCTCAAGCAACGAAGTATAATACAAAGTGGTACAAAGCCTGGCACGCTTGGGCACTGGCCAACTTTGAGGTCGTGCAAGCTCTCTCAGCTAGAGGCGAGGGCGGAATCTCTCGGGTTGATCATCAAGTCATTACGGATCACGTTGTCCCTGCTGTCCGTGGATTCTTCGAGTCAATTTCTCTATCTCAGGGCAGCTCTCTCCAAGACACACTGAGACTCCTGACCCTCTGGCTGACACACGGCGGATATTCAGAGGTTAACTCTGCCGTCACGGAAGGCTTCACACATGTTAGCGTTGACACGTGGCTCGAAGTCATTCCACAGCTTATCGCTCGCATCAACCAGCCCAACAAACGGGTTCAGCAATCGGTTCATAATCTGTTAGCGGATGTTGGAAGGGCGCATCCCCAGGCCCTGGTCTATCCCTTAACTGTTGCCATGAAGTCGTGGCAGAACTCACGTCGATCTCGCTCGGCCGCCCAGATTATGGATAGCATGAGGCAGCACAGTGCCAAACTTGTTGAGCAAGCCGACATAGTAAGCCACGAGCTGATAAGAGTAGCTGTTTTGTGGCACGAGCTCTGGCATGAAGGTCTGGAAGAAGCGTCAAGGCTCTACTTTGGGGATCATAACATCGACGGCATGCTAGCAACTCTGGAACCTCTCCATGAACTTTTGGAACGTGGCCCAGAGACTTTGCGCGAGATCTCGTTTGCTCAAACCTTTGGTCGTGACCTTACGGAGGCCCGGGAATGGTGCCGGCAATACGAGCTCAGCCATGATGTTGGTGACCTGAACCAGGCTTGGGATCTGTATTACCAGGTCTTCCGCCGCATCTACCGCCAGCTACCTCAAATGACTTCGCTTGAGCTGACATACTGCTCCCCGAAGCTTTTGGCCGCCAAGGACCTCGATCTTGCAGTTCCTGGAACGTATCGTAGTGGCAATCCGATTGTGCGCATCAGCTCTTTCGAGACAACGTTCAGCGTTATTAGCAGCAAGCAGCGTCCTCGAAAGCTGAACATCAATGGCAGCGACGGTGTCTCATACACGTTCCTGCTGAAGGGTCACGAAGATATCCGCCAGGACGAACGTGTCATGCAGCTCTTTGGACTCTGCAATACCCTACTTTCCAACGATTCGGAATGCTATAAGCGGCATCTGAACATCCAGCGCTATCCGGCCATTCCTCTTAGTCAGAACTCTGGCCTATTGGGCTGGGTGCCGAACAGCGACACTGTCCACATGTTAATTAGGGAGTACCGTGAGAGCAGAAAGATCTTGTTGAACATCGAGCACCGAATCATGTTACAAATGGCGCCTGACTATGACAACCTGACGCTCATGCAGAAGGTTGAAGTCTTTGGTTACGCTCTTGACAATACCACGGGCCAGGACTTGTACCGTGTCTTGTGGTTGAAGAGCAAGAGCAGTGAGGCGTGGCTCGAACGCCGCACGAATTACACTCGCAGTCTCGGTGTCATGAGCATGGTTGGCTATATTCTCGGCCTAGGCGATCGCCATCCGTCCAATCTGATGCTGGATCGCATTACTGGCAAGATCATCCATATCGACTTTGGAGACTGCTTCGAAGTTGCCATGAAACGCGAGAAGTACCCTGAGAGGGTGCCCTTCCGGCTGACGCGCATGCTTACATACGCGATGGAAGTCAGCAACATAGAGGGAAGCTTTAGAATCACATGTGAGCATGTAATGAGAGTTCTCAGAGAGAACAAGGAGAGCGTCATGGCAGTTCTAGAAGCGGTAAGTCTCATTCGTTCTTCAAAGCTGGTTTCGACCACTAACACTCGTCATAGTTCATTCACGATCCATTGCTCACTTGGCGACTCACGAATGCTGCAAGCCCCGCAGGCCCAACTTTCCAGTCCGAGCGAGAGCAAGCTCTTGTTGGGCCCCAGGCATCACGAAACAGACGGCCGTCTATCCTCGACGCAGATCCATCCGCATTACTCGCAGCGCAAGTCGGAAATGGAGATGGCACAGTACCTGGTGGGCTTCCTGGGGCACGTCCTCGTGCTCGCACAAACTCATCTGCGGCCCCTGGGAGCAGCCTTGGCGTCAATGGTCAGCGCGGCGAGCCACAAGATGCGGCTGAAGTCCAAAACGCCAGGGCTTTGGAGGTACTAGACCGAGTCAACCAAAAGTTAACCGGCCGAGACTTCAAACCGAATGAAGAGCTCGATGTGATCAATCAAGTGAACAAATTAATCGTTGAGGCGACTAAACTAGAGAACCTGTGCCAACATTACATTGGGTGGTGCAGTTTCTGGTAAGATAACAATATAGCATAGGCAACAGGGTGCAGAATGGTCATAGCATGACCTTTGGTGCTGTTGGAGGGCACGATCATTTGCATGGCTAGTGATAAGCAAAAGAAGGACAGAACTCGGTTTCATGTGCTCACGACCATTACTGATACTTGAAGAGATAGCTTTTGCATGAGCTTTAGAAGCTTTGTTAGAATTAGGACGGAGTTGATGGTTGGCGAGGGTTTCTTGATACCAGCAGCGTGGGAAAAGACTTAGCTTTCGAGAATTTCAATATGCTTTGAATGCAAGTATGGATCCAACCGGCCTCCGTGAGCTCCACACAGACACATGCCTTATGTATGAGGTGTTGAAATAGGTGAATCCGCATGCGCCTCGCCATGAATTTGAAGTGATGGTTCACGACCCTAGTGTCTTGCCTAGGCCCGAAGCACACACAGGCAGCCCCTAACTTCACCCCGCGTTTCTCGGACGCGAAATCAATTGCCGACACTCCTGCTTTCAAACAAAAGAATCTCTTCTCATCTGGCACAATGTCGCACGGCTTCGACAAGAACCATGGCGCCTCCAACTCAGCTTCCTACTCGCAAGTTGGGTCGCAATGGCCCTGAGATTCCAGCTGTTGGCTTGGGCTTGATGGGAATGAGTGTGGCTTACGGAACCCCTGGGTGAGTCCATTCCACCATCATATTTTCTCGACATTCCCGAAAACATGCACTGAGTCACCGTGTGAAGGTCTGACGAAGATCGTCTTAAGGTTCTTGACCGTGCTTGGGAGCTGGGGTGCGTGAACTGGGACACGGCGCACATGTATGGCGATAGTGAAGAGCTCTTGGGCAAGTGGTTCGATCTACATCCGGAGCGGCGCCAGGACATCTTTTTAGCCACCAAGTTTGGATTGTCTGCGCAGCTGAAAACCGACAGCAGTCCCGAGTACTGCAGAGAGCAGTGCGAGACGAGTCTTAGGCGCCTCAAGTCGAGCTACATCGATTTGTTTTACATCCATCGTGTGGACGGCATCACACCTATTGAGAAGACGGTTGCTGCCATGGCTGAACTGAAGAGGTATGCTACTAATCGCCGGCATCGTATGTCTTGTCGCAACTTACGTTGTGCCTATATAGGGAAGGCAAGATTCGATATCTGGGAATTTCTGCACCATCTTCAGAGACCCTCCGCCGTGCTTGTGCAGTAGAGCACATTGATACGATGCAGGTCGAGTATAGCCCTTGGTCATTGGAGGTTGAGGGTCCCGAAAGCACAAATCTCCTCCAAACATGCCGAGAGCTTGGGATTACGACATTTGCCTACTCGCCGTTGGGACGAGGATTTATGACGGGACAGATCAAGTCTTTAGATGACATCCCGCAGGGGGACTTGCGCCGTCTTGTGCCACGGTTCAACGCGGAGAACTTTCCGAAAAATCTCATCCTTGTAGAAAAGTTCAAAGAGCTCGCAGCCAAGAAGAAGTGTACCCCGGGCCAGCTTGCCATAGCCTGGCTCATGGCCCAAGGAGAGGATGTGATCCCAATCCCGGGGACCAAGAACATCAAATACCTCGAGGAGAATGTTGGTGCAGCCTATGTGCTTCTATCGAAGGACGAGGAAGCAGAGGTCAGAAGCTGGGTTAGCGACATCGGCGTTTCAGGCCTCCAGATGGCCCCAGGAGTAATCACAGACTACGGAAACACTCCGCCGCTCGAGTAGCACACAGATGATAAATTATATAGCCACCCACGTTGTTCTAGACAGAAGCTATGCTGTACGGCCAGTACAGACCGGGTTAATAGGCAAAGATCATCAACTCCATCTAACTGTGCAACAAGTCCAATGCCGCCCATTGCCATGAAATTAAAGTATCCAGTCTGGACTGATGGTCGTGTTGCCTTCAGTTCTATGATTGTGGCCACGTCAGGGGAAAGCATTCCACTCTACAAGAAAACCAGCCTTGCGCCCCGTCAAATTGCTGCCATTCATCAAATTCCCAGTAAAGACCGACAGTGGTGCCTGATGGATCCGGAGTTCCGTCGTAGTCGTCACCAAGGTCCACATACTTGAATCCATATTCTTCGTCGCCGTCTTCGGGGTCGGAGATGTCATAGTCTCGCTTGAATTCATCCTTGCACCGTCGAACCATATCATTCGCATCTTTGAGGCTCACGAAAACGCCCGCAACCTCTATCGTCCTGTCACCCCTGTAGAAAGCCCTGACTCTCTGCACAATGAAGATCCGGTTGACCTCAGTCTTGACGCCTGTCGTTGCTGCCATTTGGCTTGGTTTGTTCCCGAATGTTATACCCTTGCTGAATGAATGCCCTTCGTTCATGGCACCTCTGACTACACTGATTGTGAAGGCCAAGGAGGAAAAGAGATGAAGGGCCTTTTATCTGGAGTGTTATTGAAAGTGCTGTTGTCCTCAGATAGATGAAAGCAGAAGTCTAATGTCGAGAGAGTCGGAACTCTGAAGTGTCTTCTCAAGTCCTGATGTGGGTACAGCTTTGGCGTGGAGGGGCGTTGTAACCAGATGGAATCTTGCTTACGCGCAGCGAATCAAAATCGGTGACAACCTCGGGTATCAATCGGTGATTTCCTTGGGTGAATTAGGTAATTTTCTAACCTTGAAACATCAGTATGAGGTTTATCCGTCTTACATCAGAATGGAAAACGCACCATATTCTCTTGACTGAAGCTAGACTTCGTCGCAGACACCACAATTTGAGGACATAGGTAGTTCTTCGCTTATTAAAATTGAGGATTGCATTATAGGGTTTCTGTCGGCAACCTTCCCAAGTGACAATGACTCTGAAATGAACTTGCTTGAGACGCAATGAGGAGCGATGCTGTATAAATTTTAGAGCAGATGACATTTATACAGAAATAGTGATCCTCCATTGACAGGATTACGTTGTGGTATGAAAGCTGTGAGATAGCTGAATCAGCGAGGTTAGCTCAGCAGTGTTCGGAATTTTGGAAAAGGGCCAACTTGCACAATTATTTCCATTGTTGAATATTTGACTGAAGTCCTATTCTCTTCTGAGATATTGAGCGCTAGAAATAAGGGATCCTGATACTTGTGTCTTCCTTCGCTCACCTTCAAATATGTTGTCTTTCGATAAACTTGACCCAGGAAACCTGACTTGACCAACAATATCTTCCTGAGCAGCATATATAAAACCTCTCATGTGATATCGAAGATTCTAAAAAATGTTTTCCGTGTCCAATGGATGAACACAAGTCAAGGGAAATGGGAACAAGGTAAGACACAAGGATTAAACAACACTCCCAATCATCAGACAAAAGTTGTGATGGTAATTCAATAGCAAGTACTTGAGTAATGAATGAAAGAAATAAATCTCAAAAGGAGAATGGTGACACTGTTGCTGAGCTATGAGACAGATGGCTACTCCTTCGCTAACAGATGCTCTTGATATGTTTGTAACATACAAGGACGGAAGGAGGTCTATGAGGGCTGCTTTTTTGTTTCTTTCATTTTGCTCCTTCCTCTTTGAATTCGTCTGAAGTTAGATGGATAGCTGTAATACTTTTCCAGAAGCAGACCCAACTTCTCATTAGCGCCGGATGTGCCTCTCCTTGACGCAACATCTACCTCATCGCAACGCGTCCTCACGCAACAATCACTACTCCTCCAGCCCTACTTTAACTTTGCAATTGAAGGAGCTTCCATAAAATCTCACCATAGATGTCATAATGGCATATGATCAGGGAACTTTGGCTGTCGACCCCTCTTCATCGCGGCAGGGCGGCTATCTGGTCTCGCCTCGCACAAAGAGCGAGTCCTCGAAAGGCAAGGGCAAGGCGTCTCCTGGATCAATTCCCAGTATCTCCGTCTCGGGCACGTTAGGCGAAGATCGGTCTCATCAACAGGTCTCAGACTGGCCGTTTGCAGCCCGGACAACAACCCAGGGCACTCAAACGAACTCTGACGACGTCCACAGTTTGCCATCGCGGCCTGACCCTGCTAATCATCTCAAGTTCGGCAATACCCATCACTCCCGTTACAATTCAATCGAGATTCTTGGGATTCCTCGCCCTAGCGATCCTGCAAAATTTGAAGGCCAGCACCCGGCAAGCTCCAAGACGCTTCGGAGACGAGGAAGTTTCCCAATCCTGATCGCAGACGACATGGTAGCTGGACTAGCAAGGCTCTCAAAGAGAGAGCGCCGTCAGATTGTAGTGCATGATAAACTGACGGGAAAACTTTACCAGTGTCACAATCTGGTCGAGATTCGGAACGGTCACCGCAACCCGAAGGACCAAGCTGGCCTTACAGTACCGACTCTGCAGATCCAGAACAGCGACGGAACGTTCACTGTCCTGGATCCAGCTTCTAGTTCGACCGATACGGTAATTACTCGCTTCCCCTCGACTGGCTTTGACCGTGCGGCATTTGTCTCTCGTGGTGCAGATCGAGGCTCTCATCCTCAGCCGGTAGCTGGACCGATGTGTCTTGTTCGCCAGTGGAGGGGATTTGTTGACCTGTTTCGACATCCAAAAAACAGAGCCATTATCGCGGTGTTACTACTCATCGTTGGACTCCTATCGTTCAGTGCTTCATGTGCTACGGCGATCAACATGCATCTTGACGGCCAAGTTATCAACGCTGGCATCATGGCTTGGCTCGCCATGAGCACCGTCTTCCTCGGAGGTGGCGTTATCATGGCCATCATCGTCTATCTCGACCACCGCCATGGAAGACTTGCTTCCGACAACGAAGAAGAGTTGTACGAACTTGAAGTTCGAAGAGACGGGGACATGAGCAGAGGCGGGGTTGTGTTTGAAGAGCTAGAAGAAACTCCGCAACATGGGTCAGTCAGGGGTACCCAGACTGGATCTGCAGATCAGAGTGACCAGCGTGGTGATGGCTCTGTAGATGACCATTCCGGCCTTCAACATCATAGGGTGCAACTGAACGGCCGCGACCCGAATTTCGAGACTGGTAAAGGCAAGCTGAAGCAGCAGGAGATCATGCTCCATGTTATTGAGCAGGCATCATCCCAAATCGCAATGCCAGCTACAAGCCTGCCGGAAAGTCATATTCACCTGTCGCCAATGTCAGCTAAAGACTCCTCATTTGCTTCTACTATAACCCCGACAAAGACCATTCGTACTCCGCGCAACACGGATGGAATCAATGGCGGACCTTCATCACAAAGCCGTTTCCTTTCCCCGTCCGGTACGACTAACTCGTCTCTCGGCGCATCGTCGAGCGAGTCGAGCATTCTTACAGAGCTTTGTGCTGCTGTCACGGAGTCGTACAGCCCTCTTGAAGCAACATACGCTCACAAATGTCATCACGGCACCAAGGAAGAAGAAATTCGCTAAAGAGAGATGCACAATGAAGGAAATTAAGACTTGTGCTGCTGCACCTACTGTTGAGCATGGCAGTGGCCACACTATCCTGGTATTCTCGTTTCCCCGCTGGGACTCAGCTTGCTATGTGAAGGGAGCATTAGGACTGGTCCTGGCTCTGCTGGTCAATGGGAAAGGTTTAGGATCATTGGGTACACTGGCCGAGAATGAAGGCAGTGCAATCTTGGACAGCGAATGAGAGTTGCTTTGAGCTGGTGTTGGCAATTCTTGTCCTGTAGGGCTTGCCGGCCATACAAGAACAGGTACTCAGCGAAGAGAGGACATTAACAGAGATTGAAGCTAGGCAAATGGCTCATTGGGAAAGTCTTTCTTTTTGCAGGCATTGGTGTTAATTAGGAGGATCAACTCAATCTAGACTCGGATAGTGAATTGATTGACAAGAAATCAATTATTTAGATAGCCCTATCTGCGCGTGCCCTGTTCTCTCTATATCTCTTCTCCTTTGCCGCCATCTTCCTGCGCTTCTTCCATGACCGGTTCAGGTCACCTCTGTGCTCCCAGAACCATTTTTGAAAATTGGTTGAAGGATCTGTTGGCACCTTGTCTGTATCATTGTCATCAAATGTGTCGATACCTTCTTCTGTGAGATCGGCGGCTCGTTGCTGATACTCATTGGTGTCATCTTCTTCCTCTTCGTCAACATTATCATCGCCATCACCGCCAGACCAGAACTTGAATGTCTTGTTGGCATGTGCTGTGTCAGGTGTCGGTGCAGCACTTCTGATATTCCTCCACTCGAATTCTTGCTGTGTGAAGGGCGTCATGGGTATTTGTGAGGCGCGGGGAGCCGAGTCTTCTTCATCTTCTTGATCCTCGTCGCCAAAGAAGCTGAAGGGCTGTGCATCTGAGGTGATAGCGGTGGCATCGTCACCGGGTTTTGCTCGTTTGTATAAGGCTTCGAGGGGGTGCACCTTCTGTGCGGCTGGTGTGGCAGGTGGGATCTTGATGGTTAGGCTCCTTGCTGAGCCTGATGACTTTGGCCTTACAGCGTCAGACTTGAAATCTGACTGTGGGCTTGTAGCATCAACATCCATGGTGGCATCGGGAATGGTGTCAAGTCTGTCCTTGGTCAAAAACACGGTATCGTCCTCCTGGTGTTCGACACTAGAATCCTCCGACTGTGTATTCTCCTCTTCATCGTCTGAAGAGCTGCTTCCACTGCTGCTAGTCTCATCATCATCTAGCTCGGGTGATGCCTTCTTAGATGGCCGACTTCTATTAGGTACGGCTGGCCGCGTGCTCCGTGAGACCTCGACAATGTTGCCATCCGCATCTACCCAGCCTTTGCCATCGACAAACTCTGTTGGAGCTGTGGTGCTTGATGAAGATTGGGACTGTTTCAAAAAGGTGGGAAACTTCGTAGTCTTCTCAAACTCATGAACGAGGACCTCTTTGCCACCCTTGGACTTCTTGCGCTTTTTCTTAGCATCCGTTTCGTCATCTGCCGTGCCTGCGAGACTTGTTCTGTTCGGTGGGAGTCGTGTCTTGACCAGACACTCTGGGCCGTCGCTGTACCTGGATTTGATCTCTTTGCTCCGCTTCAGTTCCTTCTTCCTGGCCTTGTCCTGTTTATCCTCTCCCTTGTCCTTGTTCTTGTCTTTCTCCTTCTTCCTGTCTCTCCTATTGGTGTGCGAGTCTGCGGAGACGGTCCATCCCCGCTTGACCTTTCTGCCTTCCTCAAGCTCGACGCCCGGGATCTCACTGTAGTCGCGCTTCCGTTTCTTTTCCCTCTTATGTTTCTTCCTTTCCTCTTTCCGGTCCTGCGCGGGGTCGTCCTGCAGTCTTTCGGAGGAGCGAGCCATGTAGTCGTCGGGGCGGGCGGGCTCTATGCGGACCTTTGCGCCTCGTAGAGTGGCGCCGTTGAGCTTCTTCCTGATCTTGTCGGCGTCGGCGGCGGGCAGGTTGACAAAGCCGTAGCGCTGCTCGGGAAAGGTCTGCAGAGAGTGGTACGAGATGTCCTTAGCTGTTGGGAGAATGGCGGAGGGCAGGATGATGCGGAGGAGGTCGGGGTCGAAGGGGGTGATGTGCAGGCGTGTGTAGCCGCCAGCGGTGGTGGTGACTGCTTCGGCCGGCTCTTGCTGGGAGCTGGATGCTGTCATTGCTGGCCCATGTCTAATCGGCCCTGCTCGTCTTCGTCGGTTGTCTGTCTGTCGCACTGAACTGTATTGCAAGCAGCACAGCTCTTTGATGGGGAAGATAGAGAGCGCAAACAGCGGAATTGGCGGCCAACTCTGGTATTGTGCTTCCTCTTGATGCTTGGATTGGCAGAGGAGGAAAAAATGGGTTATCAGAATGTTGACATTGGATAAGATAACCCAAAAAATAAATTTGCGATAGTTAGCGTCGGTTGTTGTCAGTGATTGGCAGTAAAAATAGCACTACGTCCCGTTGCCGTTACCAGCTGGGATTTACCCGTCCTCAGAAGACACTAACATTCCGCGATTAACTCTAACTAAAATATTGTGCTGAGGTACCTACCTACCTTAGATACCTACCACGAAGTCTCACGATTTCAACCGCTCCCAAAGTTCCCAAAGGTGTCAAATGCAGGAAATGACAATGTGATGCAAAAAAAGATATCCAAAGTATCTATCTTACGCATTGGATGACATGTGATAGTCCTTTTCTTCCATTTTCTCCGCTCATAGCAAATGATGGTAACGATAAGTCTGGCACAGTCTGGCACAGTAAGAGCACACCTCACCTGCTGTAGATGAGGAAGGTGCGATGGATTGACTATATATAGTACCAAATCGGATGATGGCGCTCAATACTGTTGAGCAGGAGGCCTCTTCTTGAATCATACAAAGCCCTTACCTAGGCACATCAATGCCGTCCGTGTAAGATAGAATCTCTTTCGTTTTTTTCTCGACCTACGTTCACATGATCAAACCTCCTTCTCAAGAGTCTCATTCCCATCGGCATGCATGTCTGTTTTCCCGCAATTCGTTGTTTATGGAGGCACCTCGTAGACGCCCGAGAAATCTTCTCAAAGTCTTGGCCGCTCTGAGGTCATCGAATTTCATGTCATGTCATTGTCATTGAAGGGGCAGGAGGGAGTGGGTCGGGAGTCGCAGAGTCGGTCACAAAGGATGCAACGCCGGCCACCGAATGTTGTTCAGCGCTATGTCAACAGATGCTCGACGGACCGAGCATCACGGCCATATTCGAGTAAATACCAGATCATTAAGGGCCTATTTCAGCAACTGAATCATTATTGTGTAGACCGCAGACTACAAGCGTCCGCTTTTGGGAGCGAATGAAGCTCGTCCGAAGTCCGAAGTCTATCCAGGCTCATGGCGAGGCGATCTCTCCTATTGAAAAAGGAGCCTCTCGCCAAACTTGTGATTTAACGTTAGAGCGTTAGCACGTCGGAGGTTGAGCCGGGGGTGTCATGGTTGATAATGCCCCAGATCGCCTGCAGATACCTGCCTGAAACCGCAGTTGTGGGGAACCATCGGTCTTCTGGGTCTCAGCCAAGAGCTCACAGATGCTCCTTGAGCCGCATCGCAATCCGTGATTAGCACCCCATCTGGCGTCCAATCCCCCAGTCAGGAGTCGAGGTTGTCAGGGCCAGATCCCAGCGGATCGGAGCGTGGCTTGAAACTCCACAAGTTCGAGACATCATCTCCATTCACAATCCCTGGCTTCGCTCGCCCAGGAGCTGCATGCTCCCTGCACTCGAGTAAAATAGATGGGATGGGATGGTGGTCTTGTTCGGTTCAAGCCGAACCATGTGCTAAACAGTGCAAGCAAGGCTGGTGTATAGGATACTACCTCGGTGTCTTGGAGCGAGGTATCTACCTGATCCATGCCCTCTCAATGGTCGCATCAGCTGTTGTTCTCGACTAGATGCCAGTCTATTTGAAGGTATCGTTTCGTATCCTGCGACATGCAGTCACTTCTCCTGTCTGTACCTGTGGTATAAAGGCCGTGTGTCTCCTCTGCATGCCACGATGATCTCCGTTTAGACTTTCCACTATTGCATTCTCTTGTAACTCGTCTCTCTTTTTCATCTCTATTCTCTTCTCGTTCTTCTGGAAGGACCTTCAATTCTCCTACTACCTGCTTACCTACCTCGTTCCGAATTTCGCTTCTGCTCTCGCTGTCTTTAGGTCGATCCTACCTACTCACTCATCCAAAATGCGGTACACTGTCTCATCCATCGCGGTCATGGCTGGTCTAGCCAGCGGGACTCTCGGAGGTACGCATGCAAACCGTCTCGTACCATACGACTCGTAGGAGACTGCTTGCTGACTGATAAACTGCAGCTCCTCTTGAATCTCGCCAGTCTGGGTCTGCGTGCTTTGTCATTGGCAACACAGCACTGCCAGCGGAGGTGGCAGATGTTGTGACCTCCATCCAGTCGGTCATCACCTGCTCACGCACAGCGACCACCATTGCCGGCGTGCCGGACGTGACCACCAACGGCCTCTCGTACTCGTCGATCGACTTCTCCCAGTCATCTCAAACTCCGCTTGAGTTCGCCTTGTCCGAGTTCGCCACGGCTGAACCGCTGGCCAGCACCGACCTGGCCAAGTTCACCGACGAGCTCAACCTCTACCTGGCCACCGAAGCCGGCATCCGCTCTGTCGGTGGAAGCCTGGCGATCAAAGTCCCCAAGTTCTTCCTCGAGTTCCAGGTCAGCCGTATCCAAACGGCTCAGGGCAACCCTCCCACGGCCGCAGGCCTGCAGGTCGACCACTTGCGAGACAAGGTCTTGAAGAATGCCGCAAGTGAGGACCAGAGCTTGCTGGATCAGGTCACCGCGCTGGCCACGTCTCTCAGCTAAGCGCGTAAGTCGTGATCCAAGCATCAGTGAAGCGGGAAGGTGCATAGCGAGGGCGGTTCGTAGGTAGTAGTTATTATATTAACCAAAACATTTTGCATTGGCGGCGTTGCTGGCATTTTCCGAGAAAAATTTACAGTAATGTCAAATGTCCATCCTATACATGAAGAAGAGAGGAGAAACCGCAGAATTATCAGGCTTGCCTTAGCCCCTCCGCCGTGAGCTCAGGATGCACCGGAACGCCAACCCATGTCTATTCGTCATATGTGCCACATTGTTGATCCCCATCATACACGTCTCCTAGAGGTGGAAAGTAGAAGCGTCTATTTCCCGGCCGCCTGTCTAAGATTTGCCTCGCGAACCTCGCCCCCAGACGCCTTCCACCACACATCTCCTCCCCATCGCATCAAGCGCTCAACGGCGCCAGTTGGCGTCATGGCAGGGCGGACATCGAGATAAAATACGGGCTCGCCCGTTGGCTCGGGTGGTCCGGTATAGTAATCGATAACGTAACGGACCTGTTGCGCCTGCCCGTTGATGTTGCGCGAGACAAACCAGTCGTGGCGGTCGAAGGGGGGCTCGGTGCTACAGAGGATCAGCTATGATGTCGGCCAAAAGGTCTCTATATCTGCTGTGACTCACCCAAACTTGGCCGGATACAGCCATCCCATCACCTGGATCATGGCCGCCTTGGGGGTCATATCCTTGGGACGGCCCTGGAAGCGTATCAGGGTCGGGGTATCCTGGGATGCATCTCTGCCTTCTAGCGCTGCCAGTCTGTTTGCTGCTTGCTCAGCGTTCTCCTCGCCCCTCCTACAGATCTCCCATCCGCGAGACAAGCCCTTGCCAAACCTCTTCTCCCACTCGACAATCTCCATCCATGCGCCCTCATTCAAGAAGTTGTGCACGGCGACCATGCTCTCCACGGCGGTGACATCGGTATCGCTGTATCCCTTGCGCAGCAGAGCGTTGTACATCTGCTGGGGCGAAGGGTACTCCCAGTTGCCGTCACCAGTGCCTTTGGGGATGGATGAGGCATCTCGTGATGTGGGCAGCGCCTGAGACTGGTTTGGAGCGGGAGCTTGGGAGATGTCACGAAACATGTAGTTGAGCGGGTTTAGCCTTGATAGGGTAGACTTCTGAGGGGCTGAGGAGTCGGAGGATCGTTGGCCGTGAGGCACAGGACACGAAGAGGGAGGTTCGGACGACGACGATGATGCCGCGGGTCGTTTGGGAGAAGGGTTCAGTGCGTCAATGGTGCGCTGGTTCTTGTGCATGGGGCAGCCGGGCTGGAGAAGCAAGTTGCCCTGTTAGCAAAAAGATATCGTTGGACGGTTTGTGGACCGGCTTACTGGGGGCGATGCATTCTCTCCATCTCGTGGGTGAGGCACGGGAAAGGAGTGATGCGCCAGATGATGCGATGACGCCGATGATGCTGTTGCCGCAACTCCCGTATTCGCGTCCGCCCAAAACCAGCCCATGGCTCGTATCAATTACGGATAACTTCAATTTGTGGATTCAAGAGAGGAAGTTTATGTGTCGGATTGACAAGCGACTATCCCACCAGGCACTTTGAGGGTGCGCTTCAAGAAGATTCGTGAATTGAAGATTGAAGAGTTGGTATCTGAAATATTTCCTGGCGCGTAATCACCAGATAGGGACACACGGGCTCCTTATCGTACCGATTAAGAAAAAAAAAAGCCAGGAATTAGCACCCATCTCTCCCGCCTTTCTCCGAAGGGAGTCGGCGCCTTTGCAGCGCAGTGGCAATTGCCCTCAGCTGTCGCCAGCTGGCACTACCTGGGTACTGCTAAAGACATAGGTATCATGTCCATTTTTGCGGCAGCTCCAATTCGAAGTGATGGCGACTCATTCCGACTGATTCGCCTCCATCTAAGCAGGGAAGAAGATGATTAATGTGAAGCGAGTTTTATTATTTGGATAGGCAGCGGTCTTTCAGGCATGAGGAGTAGGCTATTTATAGTATTTCCCAAAAAAAAAAAAAAAA